AATAAATTCTAAATGCTTATATATTTTGGCATTTGATTTTGGTGTTTTTATCAAAGAAAAAGCAGAACTCTCCCTGCCCCTTTTGGTCACCAGCATGCGGGTCCAGCTGTGGCTGTCCTACCCCCCACCCCCACTTTGTGGCAGTTCTCATATACCAGTGCCCTGCTCCTGCCCCTCACTCCCAAACCACAGGCTCCACAGCCCTGCTGGTACCCCTCACTCCTGACCCATAGCTCCTTGGCCCTCCTGGTACCCCTTACTCCCCACATCCCAGCCCTACTGGTGCCCCTCACTCCCAGCCTGCAACTGCCCACCCCCTCCAGGTGCCCCTACTCCTAACCAACAGCTCCTTGTCCTTGCTACTGCCCCATACTCCCCAACCCACAGCTCACCACTCCTTCAGCCCTGCTGGTACCCCTCACTCATGACCTGCAGCCCCCTGGACCCCCAGCAGTGCCCAAGCCCTGGCTGCTACTTGCAAGAGGTGGCAGCTGCTACAGCCAAAGCAGAGCACAGAGCCTGGCTCCCCCTCCTCCATGCTCCTGCGCATGCTGCCACCAGGTGGGCAGGAGATGCCAGGAGGCACAGGGCACTGAGCCTCGCCGCTCCACTCTGTCCTGCCATGCTGGGTCCTACCCACTGGGCCATGGAACCTCATAGGGGAGGGCAGCAGGGTGGGAAGCCCCAAACCTCCAGCAGGCCATCTGTATCTGCCCCTGCCCCATGCACAAAACTGTAGGGCTTGCCCCTCATGCTCCCCCTTCCCCCTGAGAGTGTGCGCAATGGCAGGAAGCAAGCCCCCATGCCACCCCCTAGATGAACAACCCATGGCTCTTTCCCACTCGCTGCCTGGGCCCTGCAGCCATGTATTCCTGCCCTGGCCCTGAGCCCCAGGACCCACATACCGCCTTGGCTGGGCAGCACCCCCAGACCTAGCCCTGCCATCCCCCTCCCTTCTTCCCTCCCTCACTGTGGGGCCTCAATCCCCACTCCCCAGACTTACCTGGAAGGAGCTGCAGCAGCTGCTCTCCACACTGCCTGGCTGCCATGTGCATGTGTGTGAACATAAGCATGTAATGCTCCCTGACTGATTGCCCTCGTCCTGCTCCCCACAGCCCCAAGCAGTCCCTTGCAGGCTGGAACTCTGCCAGCCTGAAGGGGGAAACCCACCATTAAAAGGATAAAATCTACATTTTTCTTCTTAAAAAGAGAAGATCCATCTTTTTCTCCTTAAAAGGAGAAAATCTGCATTTTTCCATGGTGAATGGAAAACCTAGATCCCTGTTCATAAATGAAAAAAAATGAAAATGTACTTGTGTCATACACATTAATTGATATTAGATGATGCTAAAAGAAGGAAAACAATGTTCTATGATTGATATTAAATGGGAAAGTCTTTAGTTTAAAATGATATTATACAACCCCATTTTAAGACCTTTAGTTTTAGACTTTTATGAGCTTGCATTCCCTAGATCTCTTATCCTTTCCTGATTCCTATATTTTCTATGTGATTTTAGACAATGCTTTCATTCCCATCTGTTAAATGGAGCGAAAGTGTTTATTTTCTCCAACAGTTTGAATGTTTATTTAGTTTGTGACCAAGTTTGGGGCAAGGTCTATTTGTTCCTATGTTTTACCAAAGTGAGGACTTTTCGGTGTTGGTGACTGTGGGCATGAGTCTACATGAGATGTTTACCATGGAGTTGCCTAATTAGCTATGCAGTAAACATCTTGACATCTACACGTGTGACCCTATCCTGTTCTATCCAGCTATAGAGCTTTTTCATGCGCACGTGCAGATGCTGACCTGGCTGGGCGGGGCATGGAGGGTTCTTCAGTGTGGGGGCTGCCTGTCCGTTAGCCCTGCACTGAATCACCCTCATGCCCTAGCCAGGTCCTTCGTAGCACATTGAGTCAGGTCAGAGAAGCCCTGTGCTGGCAGGCTTACCGCCTGTGCCCCCTGCCAGCTGAGGTTACTCTGACCCCACTCAGTGGGCTGCAGTGGGTGCACATGCTAGTGTGGTGCCTAGGAACAATAAACTCCGGCACAATATGTGCCAATTTATTGCTTTGAATTAATATGCATGTGTAGATGCACCCTTTGTAATCTAAAGTATAACGAAGGCAAAAATGTTTACCAAGATCCTTTCTAGAAAGTGAGATTTCTCCATTCAAGATCTTGGGAAAGGTGACCTCACCTGTGTTTTCTACATCACAGGAGTTTATTAATACTGCGTGTTAAATGACTGAGGTCTTGCCTTTGATTAAATCCTCTATGAAAATTCAAAATGTTGCCTACCTCCCTAAAACCCACTTGCCCAAGATGTGAATAGGATAAATCAAACTGCCTAGTATCAGTAAAAGTATAGTCAGGACTATGTTGCTTGGAGAATATATCAAAAAACTAACTCCTTGCAGCCCCAGAGTTTTGTGTTCTCAGCATTCAGCCCCATAAAGAAACAAAATCCTATTGTTTTCCTGTTATGGCCAGATTGTTTCTTGATAAGGGATGTAAGAAGAGGGAAAAATCCAAAATGGTGTTCTCATTCATTTTCTTTGCAATTCTGTGGATGCATCTACACATGAAATTAAGGTAGAGCAATACACTCTGGAACAGTTCATGCCACAGTTAATAGCTCTGGGCACACCTACATGTGCGCCCAGGACAACAGCACCGAGTCAGGGCAGAGTAGCCCCAGGCTGGCAGAGGGCCCAGGGGGTCAGTGGTATGTCAGACTCTGGGTTGTGGCATCAGGCAGAAGGATGGCTGGGGCACAAGGGTGCTAAAATGTGGGGCTAGGCAGCAGGCATTCCCCATACGTTAGCACCCTTGTGCCTCAGGCAGATCTATTCTCATTTACATGCGTGTTTCAGCACGTGCACGTGTGTTTCACTCCGAGAGTACAATCTTATGGGAAAGTTAATTAATTTAATGTGCCCTAATACTGGCACACATATAGATACTGACACTTTACTGTGAAGTTAATTAGTCTCCTTGGCAGTAAAGTGTGTGCGTAGATGCATCCAGTGTTTCTTTACACTCAAAGTTGCCAAAGTAAAAGATATGGATTTGCATTTATTTATTCAAAGACATATCACAAGCGATGGCAATGCTACCTTCCCCTCAGTAAGCCACTACCCTGACCTAGTGATCAAGAAGTGGGAGACTAATTCAGTGTATGTGTTCATGCAGGCTCTGATTCAGCATGGTACTTAACCATATAAGTAATCCCATGACTCCTGTGGGATTACCTACAGCCCTTAGATTAGGCATGTATTTAAGTAAGTTTGGCCAATCAAAACTTTGACCCTTGGGCCTCCGATAAGCGGGCCAGTATAGGTGCCAGTTATAAGTTTTTAAAGAAGACGCTGTGGGTGCAGTGTCCTCTTAACTGTACAGTAGACTAATCTGCTGCGGCGCTATTAGACTGCAGCAAACAAATTTTTGCCGCTGTAAGATAGTACTGCTGGGGACCAGACCCCTATCTGCTGCCTAGTTGCACAACTCTTCTCTTTGGGCATTACCAGCCCCAGCTAGCCCCTCTGCCTCCCGATGCTATGATCTGGAGCCCAGGGATGCTCCACCTGGGGTCAAATTGCTGCAGTCCCAGGCACACTTGTAGACATTGTGCTTGGGAGACTAAGTCTGGCATGAACTGCACTGGAGTTTATCACGTCACACTAATTGAACGTGTAAATGCACCCTGTGAATAAGAATTGTAGCATGCACATACTATTTTGATGCTTTGCTATTAAAGTATACTGTTACAGTTTATAGTGACTACATGAACATTTATAATTTCATTCGGACATTTTTGTCATTGGGGTGCTTGCTACAGTGAGTGCTTTGTTATATATATCTTACAACAGAGTGTTACTAAGTATCTCATAGGATAACAGACAAGTTTCTATGTGTTTCTGTAGTACCGTATCTTTGTGGAAAGATAAGAAAATCCAAAGAGCTTACCATACGGTGTAAGATGCAGTGGCTGTGAGGAACAGTTTGTCAAAATGCTTATTCTCAACTTTGATTTACAAAGGATCTGGTCTGGGACCATTGTTGCAACACTCCAGATCTTCCCAGTGTTTTTCTTCAAGTCAAAAGCAGGACATGAATCTCGTATTCTGCAGACATATGATAAGATTATTTTCAATATTACGCATATCATTTCAGCTTTCCTGTCACATGAAGGAGACAAAGCTACCATAAGATGCCAGTAACAATAGAATGGTTCAGAGTTAAGGAAACTAACTATATTTATATGTAGATTCAGAATATAATGGCAAAAGTAGGTTTTCTTCTGATATCTTGGCGAGATAACTGCTGCCTCTTCCATATTTTTCCAAGGTATTAGCTAAGATTGAATAAAAATGACTGAAAAATTTAAAAAATTTTTCAAGAGAAGGGACACATTTTCTAAACAAAATTTCAGATACATACGCACAAGTGGTAATTTTTAACTAGCTTTGGGACAACACCTGGAACCTTCATCACCAAAAACATGAGCATTTCTAACCTAGGTTTAAGGAAAGCTCCTTTAGATGCTAATAAGTAAACTGTAAAAGCCATTGAGATAGATCACTAACTGCCTCTGTTTCAGTCCTGGTGTGGCATTGGGTGCCATTTTCATGGTGGAGCACGGTGGGCGCACCCATGCTTCTGATCGTCTGAGGGGCCCCAGAAAACCTCATGGCTATCATCTAAGGTTAAACGCACACCCTAAAGCAAATCCACTTTATCTTATCAACTGAAGTTTTCCATTTCACTATTTAGCCAAATGCTTTAATAACTAAAATCAAATACTCTTTTGTAAGCACAACTGCATTCCTTTTTTTGTGCAAGCAGTGTTTTGTTGCTCATGCACTGGCAGCACTTCATGTGGTCTTCAGTTACAGTATTATTTGTGGTGTAGCTCTCTCTTATATAAAGCTCTTCATTATAAGGTTACTTCAGGGTTGGTTCCTAACTTGTTTAGACAGCAGTATTGTATTGTGTGCACATTCCTACAGCGTGGAAAAAAACCCTGGGCTTCCAATATTATAAGACAATGAAGAAGTATGTTATTTCCCATGAAAAGCCGGGGGCAGAATGGTTTACTGGTGTAACAGGAAATGAAGTCTGACAGCACCTTTAGTACAGGAGCTTGATGTATAGCGGTAACAAAAGTGATTACTCTACAAAGGCTGCTTTGGTGACCTATGTAAAAGTAGTGGGCAAGGTACATGTAAAAGAATTTCATGATTACAAGCTTCATCCTCTTAAGGTATCTCTGTGTAAAGGCCAATGATTGAATGAGTCTGGAGACCAACATGCCCTCTCACTCTCCCAGGTTGACAGGACTGAGGAATATCTACATTGTTTGCTGAACAAGCTGCACCTGTTCTGTGTATAAAAAGATGACTTATTTCTAGTAATTTGGTATAGCATGATGCTTACTGCCATGAAGTGCAGCAAAGTAGCATGAAGTAAACTTGTGGTCTGCAGAAACTGAAGGAACTCTATACTTTGTAGCACAGAACCATGACATTGTCAAAAACGGCAGGTTTTTCTGGTATCAAATTCACTTTAAACAGTATTCTGAAGCTACTGCTGGATGAACATTTGCTCTAGCTGTGTCCGCAATTGTACCAGGAAACTTGATAAAGGATTTTGAAAACTGCTTTAAAGTTGATATGTGTACAATGAAATGTTTCAATTATAGACTGCCACCTGTACAAATATTACCTAGAGAAAAACACAATGGGTTTCTATTTGAACTATAAGCTAGAACTGTAAGTTTGCATGACACGGAGTTTGAATTATCTATCTTGCCTCTGATTTATAAAACCTGCCAGTTACTGAGATTCACTGGGGACTCAGAAGAAGCTTGCTCACTAAGACTGAATGGGTTAGTTGTATGCAAATCTATTTGAGATTTTTTGTCATCTTTTCTTTGATGTGACATTTTCTCCTGAGGATACTTTCTCATTTGATACAAGAAAAACAAAGTTAAAAAAAAAGCCTGGGACTGACACACAAAACAAGTTGCACAAAGTAGAAGAGCTTGATTTGTATTAATCTTTCTAATACTGTAAATAAACACATTCATTCAGGAGAAAAAAAAAATCAATACAGAGCTTTTCCTGTAATTGGACTGGAAAATTAAATGCAAGATGTTTGGACATAACAATCTGAGTAACTGACGGGAAGGTTTGTCACATGGAATATGCCTCCATGAATCTGATGTTATTAGGATTGAATTTAGATTTATCCTGATAAACAGTGGAAAAAAAAAAAAGATTGAGAACTCTGTACAGTGACATGTTTGGAAAAAGGGCACTCTTTTTGGAGCTGAAAGTATATTCGGCTGTTAATTTCAGGGCACACAATTTAGAAAGAAATGTTTGCACAGACAATGTTTGACTAGTCTACAAAAAAGCAGAATTGTTAACGTTAAAATTATAATTTTCTTTCCACTTAAGTGTATACATGGGGAGGAAATAGTATTGGTTGTACCCTTAAAGACATCGTAATGAATACAAACAATGGGGCTGAACTGTATTTTCATAGTCAGTCTTACGTTTTGTATTACTTAATGTTCTTGGGTTTTGTATGAGTTTTCCTTGTTTTTTCCTTTTCTTTTTAGAAAGAAAACTGAAGAAGGTACAACAAATAGCATCACTTCATTTCCTATCCATAGTAGCAAGTATAACTGCCAGTGGCAAATGATAATTGTACAAAATTATAGAATGTGGCCATATCAGAATTTTCCTTGAGTGGAATAAAAAGCAGTTCTGGTGTCAGGGAGGTCTCCCTCCACCAGATTTTAATGTTTGACTCCAAACTCCAGGGATGCTAAAACTGTTCAAAAGACACAATATGCCAGGAAATATATTTTAAGTTCAATACAGTGGAAAACATCAATGTTGAAGAGATCTGGTTATATATGTCAGTAATAAAGTGGAGGGATAGGAAGACAGACTTTTCTGAACTATACTTACTTGTCTATTTTAACCTCTAAAATGAAATTAAGAGTATTTTTACATTTTAAAAAGCTATTTGGAATTGTGATAGTATGAAGAAATGCAGGAATAATGATCTAATAAATGGAAGTAAGAGAAACTTCACACTTGGCTGAATAAAGTTTTTTATGACTTACTTCTTCACTGCACTGCAAAAGGAGGCTGTGGTTTCATTACTCCCTTGATCCACTTCAACCAGCTGGATTGACCAACCTGCAAGCTAAAAATATCAAAATTAAAACAAGATAAAAAGAGCTCACTTAATGTACATAAGAAGTACATCAACATAGCATAGGGCCCTGATTTTGCAATAAATTCAATGAGGACTAACCTTCATTAGCATATTTCCATGGATTTAGACGGGACTCCAAGCCAGCATAAATGATCCAATGGATTTCACTGGGCATATCTACATATGTCCCTATAGTGCCTTTGTTACTGTCATTTAGTACTTCGTTTTGGAAATACTAAATGATGGTGCAGTAACAGCCCATACTGTGCCACATGCGTGGCGCACAGTTATTTTTAGCTGCTATGTTGCTGTAGCAACGTGCTGTACCTAGGGGGCACTTTGCTACAGTGATGTAGCTGCAGCATCACAGCCCTTGCCAGTAGATGCTACGTCACCATAGCATCACATGTAGAAGTGACCACTGAAATATACATGAGTACTGGCAACTCAGGAGGTTATAATACAACCTGAATCCCACCAGCCATTAAGCCCCTCACTCTCCATTTGAAAAACATAGGGAACATAATTTTTTTCCAGCATTTCCCACTGGTCAAAAACTGAAGTGAACTCTGAGAGCAAAAGCTGGAAGTTTAAAGATGTGAAAAGGACACACTGAAATTGCGTTGATTTTCAATGCTTAATTCCTCCCCTTCTTCCCTTGGAGATTCAAGATTCCCCTGTCCAAATCCCTGCAACCATTCAATTAGCAACAGTAGGAACACAACCTATTCTGAGTGAGCATTAAAGCAGTGGCACATACATTTAGATATGGGAATAACAGTTTGAACTGTTGTTCTGGGCCACAGTGTCCTCCTGTATTGTTAATTGTACATTGCCTAGCTGCTATATTTCATATTACAGAGAGTGTTTTTTTCATATGATATGTGTGAGAACTTAGAAACATTGTGTCTGAAGAACTATTTATTCATATCCACCTGGAATGCAAGGCTTTAGAACAATTGTTGAAGGGAAAGAATAACTAAAGACAGAGTGATGTGAAAAATAGGATTAAATATGACATGAGTTTATCAGAGGCAGACTGGCTAAAAAAACAGATATCAAAGAAGGAAACCACAAAGGGATTTTAGTAGATCTATTTGGACTTCCCTAAAGCATTTGCCACACTGGAAATTATAAATTAAGCTGGAAAAGATGGGGGTAGTACAAAGAGCTTTATGGTGGGTAATGCACTGGATAATGGGGAGACCACAGTAGTTTATGCTGACAGAAGTCCTGTTGGAATGGAAGAAGGTTCACTTGTGAAGGGAATACATCCCTCAAGATTCTGGGATGGATTTTCATTAATCGTCTTGGCCAAAAGAGTAGGAAAATCCTAATGAAATGTCTTGATGACAGATGGAATATTATACATGAAAAAAAAAAATCACACCAAAAAAATGGATGAATGCAAGACTGGAATAAGAGAAATGGCATGAAAGTTAATAATAGTAATGTTAGGGTGACAATATTTGGATATAGAGAGCACTGGATTTGCAGGTGAATAAAGGCTTTAACCTGTGGCCTAGCAAAAGCTGCTGACCACAAGACAGAATGATAGCTAAGCTAGCCATTTGCTTATGCTAAGTAACCATCTTAATTGTGTTAACCATTTTTCTGGAAAAAGCAGCAATTAAGCCTGTGTGCTGTGAACCAGCGAGGAACAAAATAAGATACAGGGGCCCAAAAAAGGTGGAAGATGGTACAACCTGAGACAGAAGAACAGACTGGAATGTGAAAAACAACACGTAATTGGTAACAGAATCTGAAATGAACATATGCAAAAAGGTGAATGGTGATTGGTGAAGAAGCCTCCAGAAGTTTCCAGGTTTTGGTCAAAGCCTGCCCACTGACTGAAGAGCAGGAGTCAAGGTCTTAGACATGCGGTTATAGCAAAAGACATGTAAAGTGTATAAATACGTTAAAAAAACTATTGTTCATTGGTGCTCCCCATGTTCATAGACTGGGTGTCTGTGAGGGAGCTCACCCGAAGCTGTCTCTATTCTGAATAAAGCTGTTGCGAGCAACGTGTGCAAGTAGCGTTTGCTCCCTGTCTGCTCTGGCTAATGAGTAGCAGGACTCATGAGTGATTGGATTGTTGTTTCCCTAGTCATTGAGCGCCGCAAGGAGTTGGGGTCTAACCACTAAGAACCAATTTATTAGTTTGGGGACAAAGAATTTTTGCTGTAAGCTGTTTGTTTATTCTGAGCCAGGATATCAGAAAACTTCTTTATGCATCTTAGAACTATTTATACTTCCTGCCAGAAAAGAACCTTACAACAATGGGTAAAGTTCATCTATGCAAGAGAAGACACCAAGTAGTGGGGTTGGACTGAGACTGTGTAGTAAACAAGCCCAGGAATTAATGACCAGCATAAACTTTACCATGTATCTCACCAATGTGTGTGTGTTTTTGACCTTGTCCTCGCTAATACAAAGGGCCTCGTTACACATTAATTTTAGGTGGCTCCTGGAGTTCTTAACACTTAGGTTATCCACACATTAACACCTGAAACTAGTTTTAAGCAAACTTTAGGCAGCTTAAAGTTACTCCACTCAAGGGCATGTTTATCTCTGATCCATGTTAGCCAGCTACGGTGGCTGTTGAGATACCTCATGAATAGATACCTCCCGAGGCTGGGGGGCACAGTAAGTTCCTGCAGGCATCGGTGGCAGTGTCGGCAGGGTTGGGGTGTGATGGCAGCGAGCAGGGAGCTCCCGTAGGCAGCTGCAGTGGTGGTGGTGGCGGGGGCAGGCCGAGTGGGGAGCTCCCGCAGTCAGCTGGGCAGCGTCAGCAGTGGTGGTGGGCCAAATGAGGAGCTCCTGCACGTAGCCACGGCGGTGTTTGTGGAAGGGGGCAGGGGGTGCCGAGTGATGAAAAACAGAGGACATAAAGGCATCCAGTTTCATGTCAATAGAGGACAGAGGGCCAGAAAACTGGACTGTCTTCTATAAAACCCGACAAATGGCCACTGAGAAGTGTGGCAGAGGCCACCTGTTTCTCCCCAAAAACTCTGCTCTGTGACAATTTGGTTAAGATGGGCCCTGAAAAGGGTACACACCTTACCCTATCTCTTTAGGTAACCTGAGCTGCATACATTCCTGAGGGAGGGGGGAAACGTGCTCCCTCTGCCTACGTGACTGGCATCACATACCTGGGTGAGGGGCTTGGGCTCCCTGGGGAGCTAGGAACTGCCAGTCTGCCCAGCAACTGGTGATGCACTTCAAATTGGTTGGCTGACAGCCCACAGGTGCTGGCCTCCATTGGACCAGGTAAATGAGGTCATAAGGGCCCAGGAGGAGATGGGCAGCAGCCATGAGGAAGACTCAGAGAGAGAGAAGAGCTGAACCATCTGAAACTTGGTCTCCCTCTCAAAACTCATGATCAAGGAACTGCCTGCCTCCAGAGGGAATCTCCACCTGCACCTGGATGATACTTGTGAATAAGCTTCCTGAGATCTAACTAGATATATAGCTTGCAGTAACTCAGATGCGTGATCAAAGGCTACCCCGCCATGCCAGTTTGCTATATAGGATTTCTCCGCTATTGCTCTACCCTGTACCCTATTCCAACCCTACCCCTTGTAACCAATAATGTTCTCCTTTGTACCTAGCATGGGAGACTTACTGGGTGTGGGTCTAGATCAGGCTTGTCCAACATATGGCCCGCGGGCCGCCATGTGGCCTGCCAAGCTGTTTTCTGGGGCCCGAGGTGCTGCGATGGGAAACAAAAGTAAACACTGTTTACTTTCGTTCCCACCCCTTGTCCCTCCCCCAGCTCCTCAGCAGCTTCCTAATGGGGGGTGGGGGGGAGGTGTTCTTTGGCAGGCCCACTGGGTGATAAAAAAGTTCATGATCCGGCCTCACATTCAAAAAGGTTGGAAATCCCTGATCAAAATTATGCCTTGGGGTCCCCTTGGTTTGGCTAAGGGAGACCACTACTTGTCCTTCTGACTGCGGGAAGTGCCCCCAAGTGCTTGAAGTCAGTCAAGTACCCTTGAGGGCTACTAGGCCTGTGTTACCCAGGGGACGCAGAGCCAGAATCTAGCCCAGCCCTGGGTGGAGGTAGTTTTTACCTCAGGCTAGAGGTGTGCTCCAGGAAAGGGGTCAGCCAGACCAGAGGCGCACCAGGGAGGCACTCGGAGCCTGGAAGGTGGTCAGGCGCAGTGAGGTGGGTGGCTCAACGCAGGAGCACCCCCTACTGGCCCGCCAGTGGTGGCGGGGGCAGGCCGAGTGCAGAGCTCCCACAGGCAGCTGCGGTAGTATCAGCAGTGGTGGCAGGCCAAGTGGGGAGCTCCTGCAGGTAGCCACAGTGGTGTTTGTGTTGGGGGAGGGGGGTGCCAAGTGGTGAAAAATAGAAGACATAAAGGCATCCATTTTCATGTCAATACAGGACAGAGGGCCAGAAAACTGGACTGTCCTGTATAAAAAATGGACAAATGGCCACTCTATACTCAGCTTGTGGCCACCCCACACAGATGATCTGCCCAAATTGCAGTCCTCCAGCATCCCAGGATGCAGTGCTCCCTCCCCCACCCTCCTGTTCTGTCTGGACAAACTTTCCACCCCCACTTAAAATTCTACTGCCCATGAGTTAGTTGTGGCACCAAGTCAACTCCCACTCCCCTCCCAGGGGTATGCCTTCCCACCTCCAAGGGTACAACCCTGTGCAAACAGCCTGCAGAGCACTTGCCAGCTAGCTTGGTTGCAGGGGATGGATGGGTCCAGGAATAGGGTCTAGTGGGGTTTGTGGGGAAAAATAAGGTATGGGGCTAGACTGGGTCCCTATGAGCTAGGGCTTCCTCCTGGAGCAGGGGCAGTAGCTCCCCCAAAAGTGCCTTTACTCACTACTCCTAGGCAGCAGAAAGCTAGGACTAATGGGGCTTAGTCCCCGCAAATGAATTTTGTGACAGCCAGCAACAGCAGCAGCACCACAGTGCTGTTAGCTTGCAGTGCCTGGCACCACTCAGCATTCAGCCAGGCCAACATCC